GACCAGATGATTTTTATTATGTCCTGATATGTAAAAACATTGAACTCAAAGAGGGTGTACTTTCTTTTTCACACGACTGTATGTATATATGTGTGGTTGTGTTATTATCAAAATGGACATGTTAATTTTTTTACAGCAAAATATTTCAGCTGTTTTGATGTTAATAAAAGCATTGTAGTTAGTTTGTTACAGAGAAGTAAGAAGGATGTACTGTATTAGTTGCAGATAAATGTTTATTATTATTCTCTAGATAAAAGTCACTTGGTGTTCATCAGATATTCAGAAATCTCCTGTTCTTGAGTTAGGTGACATGTCTTCAGAAAAATTGACCAATTTATAGGTTGTGATTATCAAAAGACCTCTGCAATCATTTGCTTGAAATCTGTCAGAAATGCACAGGTACAGGTCTTAAAATGTCCATATAGGTCATACTGAATGAAGCAACCTGGCCTTTGCATTCAGTCATAAATTACATTGCAGGAACTATGGTAATGCTTTTGTTTGAAAGAGCAAATTCTGCTCAAGAGTGCTGTTAAAGGAAACTGTGTCTCTGAGAAAAAGAGCACTAGTGATATAGTACTTGAGTTCACAAGGCTGTGATCCAGCATTTAGATCAATAATTTAATACAGCATTCACAGTAATCTTCATGAATTTGAACACTGTTGGAATCCTGTAACAGGAATTTTGCTCATTGCTTTAACGTAGACGAGCCTTTCTCAATTGGGGTTGCACAAACAAATATGATTGAAAAATAAATCATTTTTTGAACTTGTGCACCATGTAGTGCTGGAATTCCCAGTGGTGGGAATTTTTATGGGTCCCAGCACTGCTTACTGGTCACACTAATGTACCATGAGCTATAGATACAGTAATTTTTATTCAACGGTTCCCTGAGACCCGAAAATTATTTCATGGATTCCTCCAGAGTGAAAAGGTCGAGAAAGGGTGGTGTAGACATTCAGAGTTGCCTAATAATAGGTCATTTTCTCTGAGAGTGGAAAAGAAGCTGCTACAAATTGTGTTTGTGAAAGTGTGTTGGTTTGATGGGTGAAATAAAATACAAGAAGGGCTGCTAGTAAGGATGGCTTTTAATATCCCTCTTTCATAGTTGTGAAGCTCTTACTGGAGATATATGGGAAATATTATGCCATATTAGCTAAACCCATCATTGAGCAGTGACATTATTAGGACTAGATAAAATGCCACAGAAGAAGAGGGTGCAACAGTTAGGATTTCTGGACAGTGTCTTCAGGAAAAGGGGTAGAAAGACAGGACATGAGGCAGGAAAAATCATTCAGACATTAGCCCAGTTATTGCACCATGGTCTCTGTTGCTCTCAGCCTTGCAAGGTAAACCAGACAGGAAACACAGCCAGATGAGCTAATTCTACTTATTGTGAAGTTATATTAACAGAATCTTGCAAGTCTGAAAGTCCATCTCTCCCCCCATCCCCTTTACAGCCCGAGAAACTAGGGAGGGTCCCTTCTGAGCCACTTGCCCCACCCACATTCCTGCTACAGGCTCAGCTGCCTCTTATCTGACCATTCCCTTGGCTGCGTCTCTTCATCCCGTCTCCCGAGGTCTTTCCCATGTACCGTTGCATGCACTCAAAGACAAGATGGAGACTACAGATGGAATATAACATCGCTCGGAACTGAGTGGCAGCATTTTAAGAAGCAGTTCCCTTCTGAAGAGCAGTGGCTTCTGTGTTCCTGATCTGTTTCCTGTCTTAGATGACATGCAAAGGCTACTGGGCTGGCAGAATAGAAAAGAAAGGGCAGGATCGCTATGCTGTCCCTAAGCTTCCCAAGGTAGGGAAACAGCCGTTTGAATGTGGCACTTTTAGGAATCACTTCCACACCAGGCCTCTTTGGAAATAATCAAGCCACGCTTTTTGCACAAGTCCAGAATCCCACCTTGCATATAAGTTAATCATGTACTACATTTTAAACCTTTCACTATGGCTAAA